TGGATGGGCTGAGGGAGTAGGTGCCATGACATAGATCAAGAAGGACAGGAAGGCCATAGCTAAGACTTGTGTCTTTATTTATTTATTTATTTATTTATTTATTTATTTATTTAAGACAGACAGACAGATACAGAAAGCAAGCGGGGGAGGGTTGGAGAGAGAGAATCCCAAGCAGATTCTGTGCTGTTAGCACAGAGACTGATGTGGGGCTCCATCTCATGAGACCATGACTCAAGCCAAAATTAGGAGTTGGATGCCCAACTGACTGAGCCACCCAGGTACCCTGACTTGTGTCTTTATTCTAAGAGTGCTTAGAAGTCATTTAAGCGTTTTAGGCAACATTATCTAACTATTATGTTTCATATTATAACTTAGCTAGAATGTTGATGTATGTTAATTAGGATAAAAATTTTAGGTAATGTTTCAGATTAACTTTATAATTTAGAAAGCTTGTTTGAAGATTATCGTAGAGAAGCCTAGGGCAATTAGAATACGGATTCTTAGGATAAGTATGGTTTATGTACAGAGACTTGGTGCATAGAAAAATCTTATTCAGAAATTAAGTATCCTTTTTTTAAGAAAAACTTTTTTTCAGCGTTTTTTATTTTTGAGAGAGAGAGACAGAGTTTGAGTAGGGGAGGGGCAGAGAGAGAGGGAGACACAGAATCCGAAGCAGGCTCTAGGTTCTGAGCTGTCAGCACAGAGCCCAATGCAGGGCTTGAACCTATGAACTGTGAGATAATGACCTGAGCTGAAGTCAGATGCTCAACGACTAAGCTACTGAGGCACCTAGAAAATAAGTATCCTTAATATATCTCTGTAATTAATTTAAAAACTTGGGTTATAGAAAAGGACCTTGTGTTTTTGGAGTCCAGTGAAATAAAATAGGATTACATCCTAACATGATCAGTGTCTGTCAGATTAGTTCTACATTTGACACAACAATTGAGATATTAAAATTACAAGTCCAGATTGATAGATTGTACTTACTTAAAATGATGAATTTTTTCTTAGCTGTACTACTAAAACAGGTTCATTTCTGCTTAAAGTGCATTTAAAACTGAAGATTTATTATTAAATTTTGCATCTAAGAAAGTTTTATGAGAAGCACTGAACATTAAATACGGATTAATAGTTCATGATCATGGTTAATCATTTACTTAATCATTTACATTACCTAAAGACCAATGTTGAAAATCACTTTTAAGATAGAACTTGTAGTAATGGTCCTCCTATTTTTTTAAAGAGCTTTGATCACACTGTTAGTGGGAATGTAAATGAGAACAATGTATTTTTAAAAATAATTTGGCCTCAAATTGTAAAGTTGAGCATTTTCATTCCCACTACCCAGTAATTTCACTGTTGGGTATATATCATAGAGAAACTTTTGCACACATGCACCAAGAAACAGTACAAAAATAACCTATGAAATCATTGATCATGATAGTAAAAAACTGGAAACTCAAATGTCCATAGAAGGAAAATAAATACATAAATTGTAGAACAGTCACACAGTAGAATATTACGTAGTAGTGAAAATGACTGAACTATATGTAAGGGTATGGAAGGATGTAGAAATATAGTATTAAGTAAAAAAAAAAAAAAAAAGTACCAGAGAACCACACGCCTTTCTATAAAAGTCTTAAAACTAAGCAAAACTAAAAAAATACATATAGGGATTTTGGTAAATGGCAAAATGTAATGGTAAAGTATTTGCATAAGGCATATTCTATGGTACTCTTTTCTTCCCTGTGAAATTCAGATATTTTACTCTAGCAACAAATCTTTTAGACTTTTATGTACAGCTGAAGGACAGTCTACTTGTACTTGTCCTCTGCCCAGCACATATTTTTAGTCTCAGAGGTGAATGCTTACAGCGCAGTGCTGACAAGCCTGAACCGAGAGGCTAAAAAGTCAGAATCATGGAATAAGAACCTGTGTATTCTTTTTGAGATTTCTCTAATGAAGAACCACTGAAATGTTACTAGAGAAGCATAAAAATTAGACTAATCATTGCAGTATCACTGGACAATCAATGGATGTTAGAGTATTGAATTGGTGGTCAGAAGAACTGAGTTTGAGTTTCCAACTTCCTATACTGAATTGTGGTATTCATTAATATCTTTGTGCCTCATTTGCTTCCTGTTTACAAACAGAGATAATAGCTCCTTTATCTTCCTCATAGGATTGTTATGAGAATGGAAATAAATTGATACACATGAAAAATCTTTACAGTTTCAAGGAATATGTAAAAGTTTGTCACTAGAGGAAGACCTTTTTCTCAAATATATTAAAACTCATAGCAATGTATAACAAAATACTTTTTTAGGCTTTTAAAAGTTATTGTGTAAACCATATGAATTTCTTAATAGAAAAAAATGCCTATAGGGTATACTTGAAAAATCATTTTATTGATTTCTCACAAAAATTAACTACTTAAATATAAATGTCAAAGCATATCTCTACAAAATTGATAGGATGTCTAGATTTATTAATCAAGTCAAGCCCTCCTTTTGCTATTTAATCTCCAGAGAAACCAGAATGGTCCTTTCTCTTTTTTATTTAGATACGGAGGAAACACAAGTCATACGTCTCAAAAGTGTCTGCTGCTATCATCAATGTAGTAATATTGTGGACAGGCTGGATGGGACCCTAGGTTTGGAATTTTACCTCTGCTCCAGGGCCTACTTTGACTTGTAGTTTCGGAATCTTGATCAGCTTATCTGGAAGTTGCCTTTGCCATGAGAGAAACATTCATGTATTGAGAAACTGATAATGTACCGAAAAATCCATTTGCTAATTTACAGTAAGAAATATTGTAAACTCATATCTTCATGACAACACTAATGTATTACTTTTGCTTTATAGTTCCTAAAGTCTTTCAAATTCATTGTCTCATTTTAGAACCTCATGACTTATGACTTTTGAACAGAATGACAGTTTATTTCAAAACTGTTTATTCTTTCAGGTGGAATATATCAAAAAGCACAAAACAGAACAGGGACCGTATCTTAGTTGTCAAGAATAACATACTGTTAACAGTTCTTCATATTTCTTTCCTTTACCATGCATGTTTATATAATTGAGAACATATTGTAGATGGCATTTAAATGTCAAAGTTTTTTTTTCTGGTTAGGATGGCAATCTATGACTTTTGTAAATATTTTGGAAAAGTTGTAGAAAGCAGACAAAAAGTCCAAAGCATAACATGAAAATCACATATAATCTATTACTGTAATTAACCACATGAGTATTTTGGTGTATTTCCTCTCAGAAATTTTTGCCGTTTTATTTTTTGGTTTAAAAAATGTAGTCGAGATCATACCAAGGCAGGAATGCTTGGGGAGACCAACACTGGCTGGGCTTGGGTCGGGCAGCCTCTACTCTCCAGTCCAGCGGACTGGAAGCTGCAGATCAGCACTTTTCTTCCTGGACAGGGGTAGCGAGTGAATATTTTCCTTTAAAGCTTCCTTCTTTCTGTATTTTAAGCTGTATTTGTACATAGATCCCTCCTCCCCCCCCCCCCCCAAATCTTCGACATCGACACCTGCCCATATTTCAACAAGTTAACCTTGACGGCTTCTGGAAGCCTGCGCGACCCTTCACTTTGGCTCATCGAAAGACTCCCGCCCCGACTTCACTTTCTCCCGCGAATATTGAGGACGTGGTAGGAAGTCTTAAGGAGTCTTAACTTTGCAGCTTCAAAGGGATCCTGAAACTCCCAGCAGCCGGGTGACAGCCCTCGCCCCGTGGATGCGCTAGGAGCGCCCCAGGGCTCCACTAGGAGGCTCCGTGTCTCTCCGTGGAAGGGTTGCGACCACGGAAGGCCTTCGCGATTACGTCCTCCGCTCCGGGGGCGGCCGCAGCCCTCAGGGACACCAGCCCATCCTCGCCCCTCCCGAGGTTATCCTCAGAGCGTACGTCCATGTGACTCCGGGTCCTCACATCCTGCTGTTCTCGGGAGGGTCTTTGTCCATCTCGAGAAGGCTCGTAGGCCTCAGGCTCGCTCTCTGCCTCTCGTGAGATCCGGGCAGGCCTCTGCCACAGAACCCAACGGTTGGATCCTCTCCGCCTCGCTTTGCGAGCCTGGAGAAGTGCGTCCCTTCTCGCTTGCCTTATGCCTGGCGAGACGGGGACCGCACTACCGCGCTGCCTGCCGGAGGGGGGAACGCTCACGTGCGGCGCTCTGCTTTCCAGTCGGCGACACTAGCTCCCGAGAAAACCAACCTTCAGACTACCAGGATCAGTACTATTTTGTCCTGGGAGCCCGCACAGGAGGGCGGAAAGCACAGCTACTCGAGTTGGGCAGTGGACGTGCCCCTTTTCTCCCCCTTGGTTCGTCAGAACCGCCCGGAGCTGCAAGCGCGCCAGCCTCCGCGGAGCTTCCTCAGCCTTTGACAGCTCCGCGCGAGCTCATCGGGCCTGGAGTCCGAGCTCCGGGGGCGGGACGGGGCGGGGCGAGCGCGCGCGGGGCGGGGCGAGCGCGGGCCGGGGCCAGAGGAGGGAGCGCGCGAGCGGAGCCGAGCGGTGCCGAGCGGAGCAGGGAGGTACTGGGGAGAGGCAGGCAGAGCCCGCCGGCCGCCTGCGGCTCAGCGCGGATTGTGCTGCGTCGCCCGGCTCCGCGTACCCCCGCCTCTGCCCAGGCTCCCGCCAAACTTTTATTCTCTGGGGCTCCCCGGGGTGTCTGAAGGAATCGGAGCGCTCGGCCGGCTCTGCGCTCCCCTGCCGCGGCGACCGAGGGGACGTGCATCCCTTGCCCGCTGGGCTCTCGCGCCCCGCGCCTCACCTGCTGCTGATCGCTCCTCAGGGCGGCGAGGGGGCATCCGCCGAGAGGCCGCGCGGGCGCCAGCGCCCCCCGAATTTTCCCGCCCACCGCCGTAGACTCGCCCGGCGCAACTTTAACTTGATTTCTTTAGCCCAGTCCGCGCACCGCGGCTGCCGCTTTGCTGCTACCGCTGCCGTCTCGGCCGCCGCCTCACAAAGGGGCGCGGGGAGGGGAGGCGGCGCGGTCCGCGGGCACAGGCGCGGGTGCGCCAGGCGCGGGCCTCCGTGCCGCCGAGGCCGGGAGACAAAAGGGAAACTGCCTCTGTTTGCCGTGCGGGCTGGGAGCAGCCAGCTCGTCCGCCTCCTGCCCGGCTCCGCGAGCCTCCGCCCCCCACCCCCGGCTGCTGCTCCGCCTCCCTCCCCGCGGGCTGTCCCCGCAGTGCTCCGGGACCCGGCGAGCCTTCGGGGCGCGCGTCGCTGCTGGTGGTTGGGGCTGTAGCTATAATAAATGATAGAGGATACAATGACTTTGCTGTCTCTGCTGGGTCGCATCATGCGCTACTTCTTGCTGAGACCCGAGACGCTCTTCCTGCTGTGCATCAGCTTGGCACTGTGGAGTTACTTCTTCCACACCGACGAGGTGAAGACCATCGTCAAGTCCAGCCGGGACGCCGTTAAAATGGTGAAGGGCAAGGTGGCGGAGATCATGCAGAATGATCGGCTCGGGGGACTCGACGTGCTGGAGGCCGAGTTTTCCAAGACCTGGGAGTTTAAGAGCCACAACGTGGCCGTGTATTCCATCCAGGGCCGGAGAGACCACATGGAGGACCGATTCGAAGTTCTTACGGACCTAGCCAACAAGACGCACCCGTCCATCTTCGGGATCTTCGACGGACACGGGGGCGAGGTAGGAGTTCTCTGGGGTTTTGTTTGAATGAGTGTGTGTAAACAGGATGTGTGCGTAGCGGGGTAGGAACTGGGTGCGAGGGGCGTGGTGATGACCTGGTGCCGGGATGGACAAAGACACTAGATTCAAATGTGGCTCAAGTTGCTAAAAAATAGTGCTGGCTCCAGACCTCTTGGGATTCAGTGGCCAATTTGGGGGAGGGAGGGTCATCCATAACCTATTTTGTGCCTCAGAATTTATGAGGTTTCCCAAGGCCAGAACCTAGCAAATGACTGTGCTAGTTTTTGGGGGGAGAGTTTATGGTTTCTACAGGGAACTTTGGCCCAGAGCTTCAGCGCCTCTGTTCTAGGGTTTGAGGCCAAGCTTAGGCATAAAGAAGGGGAAAAAAAAATCTTTGATTCTCTTAGGGAAAAGAGACAAAATCTGCAGAGCCGTCAGTGAGGTCGCATCTCCTTCTCATCGCATTCTCCTAGAGGAGGAACCATAGGGGCACCTCTGCGCTTCTTCCCAACTCCATTAACTTTGCAAGTGCAATCGGGCCAGTTGACAGCCGCGCCTCGCTGGTCGCCTGCTTTCAGCTGATCGTGGCGCGGGACCGAGATGCCTCTGGCCTTTGCAGAGGTGGCAATGCCTGCACAGGCGGCGGTGCCCCGATCTCGCCCCTGCGCCCTGGCCAGCGTGGGCGCGCAGACGTCTCCCTGCTTCTAAACTCCTTTATTTAGTGTTCATCTGGGAGCAAGAGATGGTGTTGGAGGCAGGTTCAGGTCCCCCTGCCGCATTTCTGCGGCACCCTGATTGCGCGCTGGGGCCCAGATTTCCTGGAGGTCGGGGCGAGGGTTGGCTCTAGTCCTCCGGCATCTGCCCAGGGGAAGTGAGTGGCAAATGTGGCTCCAGCACCGTTCTCCCAAGCGCATCAGGCCAGCTACCCCATCTCTCTCAATTGGCAGTTTGTAAGAGTTTCAGTGCTGCAGTTTTAAATTTTTTTTGCAGTATACTTTCTTACTCATATTCCTCCAATCCCCTTCGCCACTCTTACTTCTTTAGCCCCCCACCCCCACCCCACCTTCCGTGCTCTGTGCTCGCATCCAACTTTCCCTCCAACTCTCTTCTTGGCCCTTCAGGTCCCTGGTGAGCTGTAGGGGATGTTTGGATGTCATTCGCTTTCAGGAATGCTTGTTCAATTGGTTATCTTGTTTGCATTCTGTCTTTGGTACAAAGTCACTTCCCCCCCCCCCCCCCCCCCATTCTGCTAATCTTTGGGAGATATTGTATGCATCTGCCTTAAACCAACTTTGCCAGGAGATAAACTTAGTTGGAAAATTTATTTGGTAGAACTGAGATCAGATTTTGCTATTTTTCCATCCACCCTAGACCTATGTTTTGTCTTTAAAAATGAAGGTTTATTGCTGGTTGTAATTTTGTAGCTTCTCCTGTAGTGTGGGGTTCTTTTCCCCTTGGTCACAGGATAGGGGAAAACCATGAAATTAATTGAGTGAACAGATGCTGTGTGCCTGGGTAGAAACATACCTGAATGATAATGTTGCCAATATAATGACTGCACTGTTTTCTTGGTTTGATTAGAATGTCTTTATTTTCGTTTTATATGCTTACACTGCGGTAAGTCATTTAATAAAGCTTATGTTTATTATATATTTTTAAAATAAAATTGGCAGCCGATTACTGCTTCTGGTCATAGAAAGCATAGTTTTATTTTTAATTTAAAGTTCTGGATGTAATATTAGTGTTGTGAAACTTTGGGTTGTGCTTGCCTGGGTGTACTGTATTGGCATGTTTTGAGCCTGCGCGTGTAAGTGAATGATATTTAAAATTTTCTTTTAAGTTGATATTCTAAAATCTGAAAGTTGCAGACCTAAACAGATTTCAGGTTGAAAAATTTCTAGTACTATCTTCCGGTAAATGTATCATCCAGAAAAAGGATATGATAAATGTTTTTATTTAAATAGAAGAATTTTACATGTATAGGTACCCTCCTTGAGAATAGAGTAATCGTTCTATCTATAATTTCTTATACTATGTAGCCAGTTCATTCATTCTGACTTTGTTTTAGGGCAAAATAAAAAAGGTGATATAAAATGTAGTTATCTTGTTATTGGGAATGTGATAATAACAAATAATATTAGGTAATTTCTCTTCTGTTTTTTCTTTCATTCAAGAAAAATCCCACCTAATTGTCGTTTTTTTTGTGTTGTTTTAGCTCCCTTACCATTCACCAGAGGAGGGTGCCACTGTTTGATTTTGGTATAGATGATGGTTGTGTCCTTTCAGAAAGGGGAAGCTTTTTCTGAATTACGTATTATTTATATATGTTGTATTAGAAGATAAATGAGGACTTTAATTTTATTTCTAATAATTCAAACTAATAAGATGGGCTATAAAGCATGAGGCCCTGTCTATAATGATACTGCTTTTTAAGTTTCACAGAAAAGACCTAAGTCACTTTATATATATACATTTCGTCCCATTTTTTAGATGAGGTGTTTATTGATGAGCTTAAGATGTGACCTTTGTAAGGCAAGTTCAAGGCCTTCATTTTGGTGCTTTTTATGTTAAACCACTGGACAAATTAGTTTGCATATTTGCCTAGATAGATAGCGCACTAGGGATACAAAGGTGAATGAGACATGATTCCTATCTTCACAAAGTTTCAGTGTAGAGATACAGATAGATCTGTAACCAAAAATTATAGTTGAAGCATGCTTAGGGTGTTATGGGAATACTGAGAAGAAGCATTTAAATCAGACTGGGAAGTGGGAGGCCCAGGGAAAGACACTTTAAAGGCATTATTTACTGCAAGTTAAAAGCACAGGCTTTGGTTTCAGATCTGGCTTTGAATATCTGCTCTGCCTTATACTAGTTGTGACCATAGATAAGTTGCTTAGTCAACTTTATCTGGGAGTTTTTAACCTGGAAAAAGGGATAATAATGCATGTAAGGTGCGACTCCACCAGTTGTATTATACTCTATGTAGAGAAATACTTAATGGAGAGAACGATGTGGAAAAAGAAAGCTTAGAGTCCAAGAAGTCTGCATTGTTAGAGCAACAATTTCTTAGGAAGAGAGACTCTTCATACGAAAGCCACAATTTTGATCACTAGAAAGGCATATGTTGGTTATGGATAATTTATTAGGTATCCCCCAAACTCTCTCTTTGTTCTAACCTGTGGCAAACTGGTTATTAATTCAGGTTTTCAGGTATCTTAGCATTGGGGAAGCAGCGCCCAGGTTTCCAGGGTAAATTTTCTGATTAGTGAAAAGGAATATTCCTTATGATTAGTTGGTAAGTCGGTATTTCTGATTTGCGCTTAGCCTCTTAGCATGCGTTGGTTCTCTTGAGTGTGTTCAGTTGTGTGTTTTTGACAAAGATATATCTCCGGACTTATGCCAAGGACCAGACTCTGGAGAGCTATGATTTCTACATGGATGACATCTGAGAGAGCCTGTCTCCATGGTCGTACAGGCCAGCTTCCTCACTTGAGACCTTCTAACCATGATACTGTGGTGGTGGATGGTTGGTTCTGAGTGAGTGAGTGTGTGTGTGTGTGTGTGTGTGTGTGTCTAAAGCTATGGCAGTGATTGTTTTTCTGTATAACAAAAGATTTACAAAGATTAAAACATTGAAAAGGTAGGGGCGCCTGGGTGGCTCAGTCAGTTGAGCGTCCGACTTCGGCTTAGGTCATGATCTCATGGTTCGTGGGTTCGAGCCCCGTGTCAGGCTATGTGCTGACAGCTAGCTCAGAGCCTGGAGCCTGTTTCAGATTCTGTGTCTCATTCTCTCTCTGACCCTCCCCTGCTCATGCTGTCTCTATCTCTCTTCAAAAATTTAAAAAATAAAAATAAAAAAACATTGAAAAGGTAAAAAAATTAGCTCAAATTATACCAACTGATGTGGGAAGATTATTTTTATATATCTTCAAAGTTTGTTTATTTTGATAGAGAGAGGGAGAGCATGAGGGGGGAGGGGCAAAGAGAGAGGGAGAGAGAGAATCCCAACCGGGTTCCATCATGCTGTCAGCTCTGAGCCAGATGAGGGGCTTGATCTCATGAAGTGTGAAATCATGACCTGACCTGAAACCAAGAGTTGGACCCTTAACTGACTGAGCCACCCAGGTGCCCCTGATGTGGAAAGGTTACTTTTAAGATTAAAAAAATAATGTTTATCTAGAAAAACTTTTTTTTTGTTTGTGTGTGTGTGCTTATCTGTAATTTTTATCTATAGGCAAAAGGTAAGTGGTATTTTTTTTTTTTTTTGGTTCACTTGTTTCACTTTTTATATTATGTAGAAGAAATAGCGCCAATCCTTTGAGGCAACTTTGTCAATGTTCATGGCTAAAACCTCTCTGGAAAAACAGATTGTTATGTGTTCCATCATTATTGTATTAAGGGTTATATATCATTGTATCAAAGAATTGACACACAGCTTGGTCAGGGGTTAAGCTTAGAGTGGCAGACTTCACATCAGAGAAGCTGTACTTGAGATACTTGTTAGGGGCTGTAGTCTTCAGGCTCCGCACTTCTCAGAAGTTCAGAGGAGAAACTCCTTATGAAGGTTGCCTGAAGGATATATATAGTCTAGTTCTTTAGATCAATGGTTCTTAACTTTCCTTGAGTCGTGCTTCCCTTTGAGGATGTTGTGAAACTACAGATATATCCCCAAGAAGAATGGATGTGTGCATCAGATATTGTTTATAATTTTAAAGATAAGTGGATCCATGAAGCCTCTGGATTTTAGGTTAGTCTAGATAGAATAAAATATGTTTCTGATAAATCTAGACCGGCAGGGAGCTGTGTACCTGGACCCCTTCCTTGGCTTGATTGTCATTTTCTCCTACATTTGCATTTATTGACTTGTGTGCTGTCGTTTGCCTGTGAAGGTTGTTATGAGGAATGGTCTTCCAAAGTTCTCTGACAAATCAACTGCAAATATGTCCTTGAGGACTTTGTGCATTATGAGGACCAAGGAAAAGATTGTTCTCTGACAG